TCTGGGGTTTGTTTGGGGATGTTCTGGGTTTGTGTGGGGATGTTCTGGGTTAGTGTCAGCACTGTGAGCTGAACCAGGTGCCTGCCCAGCACTCTGGCTGGGGATGTTCCCCTCGGAGCTCTCTGCTCTGGGCTGTCCTGGGGACTGCAGAGCTCATTTCCTCAGCGCTGGCACCAGCTCTGCTTCCCAGCTCCAGGCAGCCTGTGGAGCTGCAGGGAGGCCAGAGGTGAGGAATGTTTGAGCTGTCACCTGGCAACAGCCAAACACTGACTTCAGATAGAAATTGTAAAACAGCTCAACATCAGGGTGATGGGGCAGGGGGGCAGGGGGGGCTGCCACTGCCCCTGGTCCCAGGGAGCCCCATAAAACCCTCAGTGAAATCCTCAGTGCAAGCCGAGCTGGCTGCAGCCCAGCCTGTGCTGGGAGCTCTCAGCAAACCGTGCCAGGCTGAGGCTCAGGGTGACCTGGTCCTGTCAGCACAGCCCCTGCAGCAGCACATCCAGGCACCTGCTGCTGCTGCTGCTGCTGCCTTTGGCTCCCGTGAGGCTCTGGACTCTCCATGGGACACATCCAGGGGGACGTTTAGCACGGGATGTTTCCCAAGAATCCTCAGGGGGTGCAGAACCCTTGGCACGACTCCTCAGAGTCTCTGAGCAGAAATCCGGGTCTCTGGCACCAAAGAAATTGCTGGGATTTATCAATGGTAGCTTACTTTTGGGTTTATCCTTGAAATTACTGGCAAAAGACAGGGAAAGCAGTGGGCAGGCTTTAGGGCAGGCTGTGGACAGGCTTTAGGACAGGTTTTAGGACAGGCTGTGGCTGGGTACCTGTGTGACCCAACACCAGGTCCTCAGGCTCAGCAGTGACACTGAGATGAATGAAGGGGTTTTGCATAAAGCAGGACCTAAACTTGCACATTCTGCCCCGTGTGACAGGGCAGCACTCAGGGGCTGTTTGCTGCTCCCAGATTTACTGGGAGATGGCCTGGGCAGGGCAGGCTGTACAATAAACACAGGAATTGGGATGAAGGCTCTGCTCTGGCTCCCTGGTGAAGCTGGGACTGGCTCCCAGGCAGATGGGGCTGCAGCATTAGGTAGTGATGGGAGGGATGGGATTGTGCTTGACAAGCAGCATGAGGTCACTCTCAGTCCCCTTTGGGTGAGATTTATCAACAGGCTGCCTTTGCCTTGGATAGAGTCATTCATTTTTTAAAATCTGCTTGTGCTGCTTCCCCTTCCCTCTTAACCCATTCTCAGCCTTTGCCTTTCCTCATTGTTTCAGTCAGAGATGACAGAAAAAGTGTGAAGTACATCAAATAATGACATTGAACATAGAGTGACCTGTTTCTTTCAGTGGCCAACACACCCTAGGATCACACACTGGCCAGCTCTTACCAGCTCCCACATATGGATTTATAAATCCATCAAACATAAATATTTCTCCTTCATTTACCTGCTTTATCCCCTCAGCCTGTGAGCCATGGAGGTCTTACAAAGGGATTAAATCTGCAATGGAATCCTGAGGATTCAGATTAAAAGGTGGCATTTAGGGCACATTTCAGCACAGCAAGACTGCTGTGCCCACAGCACTAAGACATGCCCTGGCTCCAGGTTTTATCTCCCATGAGCCACAACGACAGAAAGGTGACAGGAAGGGTGGCCTGGGCACTGACCACAGGCATTCCATGGGTAAATTTATTCTGTGAGTGCACAGAGCCTGGATCTCTCCTGCATGTGGTTAAGGAAAGAGCAAGAGAAGGAGAAAGGAAATTAACACAACAGAGAACTTGACATAAAAGTGTTTTATATCATCTCCTATAAAACAAGCCATAAATCCCTGCCCTCCTGCTCCACCCCTCCACATGGTTTTCATTTTAGTGGCTGGCTGAAAAGCAGAGAAGTGGAGGGTACAAAGCACATATTCTTGGTGGGAGAGGTTCCCCTTCCCTGTGGGTTCCTGCTCACACCTTGTCCCTGTGCCTGCAGCACAGCATTCTGCTCTGCTGAGGAATCACAGCCTGGAGCAAGGCAGCATCTGGCAGCATCTGGCAGCATCTGTGTGCCCTTGCCCAGCTCCAGGACCCCGGGGGGAACACTCAGGGCACTGGATGTGGCTGGGGAAGCTCCTCAGCGTCAGGGAAAAGGGAAAGGACTGGGCTTTGAAAGATCCCTGTGTCCAGATTTGGTCCCCAAAGAAATCCTGAGATGTTTCAGGGCATTGCAGGTCATTGTGGAGCTCCTGGGGGAGCTGGCTGGGGAGATTCTGGAAGGGTCTGGTGACTGGCAGTGCCCATAAAGCTGGAACAATAGGACACACAGTCCTTGAGGGGTTTATTGCTGTATTGCAAGAGCCTTGTTGGCTCATTGCTCCTGCATCCATTGGTAATGTTACAGAACATATTTAAATGAAAATCCTCATCCACTGAATAAAAAACAAATCCAGGGGAAAATATGTTCAAATTGTAGCAATTATTACTTTTGTTTCTATAAAACTTGATTCTCATCTTGGGCTGTTGGAGCAGATGTTTTAAGGCCGTGCTGGACAGAAGATTTACTGAGATAAATCTGAAGGTCAGGCAGAGCTTTAATGTTGCAGTGAGAGCCTTGGTGACTGCAGGGAGTGGGCACAGACCCCTGGCAGAGCCTGGGTGCCAGGGATGAGGGAAAGGAAGAGGTCCTGGAATGACCCAAGGAGCCCTGCACAATGAGGATGGAAAATGCTTGGTTACAACCTTGTTCCTTAATTCTGGAGTGAGGACAGCACAGATCAAGACACAGGAAAGGCTGGGAAGGATTGTTTAAAGCTAAGCTAATGACAGTAAAAAAGCACATGTGGAAGGCAATAAAACTGATGGGTTGGGCAGCCATTTTACTGAGCACTTTATGCTGATGTTAGCTAATAAAACAGCAGAGCCTTTGGTAACTGAGCTCCTCTCCTCTGTGCATTCCATCCTCCCTTCAGTTATTTAATTCCTCTTCAAAAATGACCAATCCTTATTCTTAAAGGAAAGATTGCATCAAGTGATTATCTGCAAGTCCAAGGAGGTGAGAGGTATTGCTGAGATGAAGGATATTTCATCCCTGCAGGTATTTTGTTAGTTAAACTGCAGAGGAACATGGCAAACAGAAATCCAGGACACACTGAGAATGTTCCCACCATGTTTCTGCTGTAATTACAGCTGGGGGATGACAAGAGCATGTAAGTGATGCAGCTGTCACTGTGATACCAGGGTTTAAATTGGGTTTAAATTGGGTTTAAACTGGGAGCAGCTCCCATTCTGCTACATAAAATATTCTGTTCACTTGCATTCTAGCAGTGTCTTTAGTCCCAGCAGGAAGCAATGTCCCCACTGGCTTTAGAGTCCCTGGTGACTCTTCCACGAGTCCAGTTCTGACAACTTCACTGCGAGGGTGGGAAGAGATGCTGTTGGGAGGTGCAGGGCATGGCTCTGACTCTCCCTTTGCTGGAGCTGGAATGCTCCTCCCAGACTGGAGTTCTGCCCTGGCAGGGTGGGAAGCACCAAACTGGACCCTGGACCGTGTCAGCTCCCCACCCAGCCCACTCCCCATTCACGGGATGTTTGGTCCCTGAGCTCACTCCTGAATGGGCTCCAGGTATCTCCTTCTGCTTCAGCTGCTCCCCCTGGGCCCTGCCTCTGCTCCCACGTGTTTCCCATCAATCCCAGTCCTGCCTGCAGAGATTTCTATGGGGATGGAGGGAACGTGGCTCACACAGGGGGATGCTGCTACTCTGCTCCATTGATCCCCTTTTAATCCTGCAAAAATCAGGATTCTTTCTGCCTGTATCTGACTGTACCCCTGTATGTGACTGTTCCCCTGTATGTGACTCTGTGCCCTCTCTCTGGCTCTTTAGGCTCTATTTACACTGAGCTGCCAAGGCTGGAGCTCTGTTCATCCCCTGCACTTCAGCACTGCTGGCTCTTGGAAGGCTCCCGTGGGCTCCTGCTGCTCCTCACAGACCCCTGGGACTTGCAGAGGTGTCTCAGCACTTGCCCAGAGTGTGAAGTGCCGGGATTTCCTGCTGTCCCCCAGCCAGGGGTGTCTGTCTGAGCCAGGCTGGCCACGGGCAGGCTCTGAGCAGCTTCCCAGGGGCTCTCAGGGCTCCCAGTCCGTCCTTCCCACTCATCACACCTCCTGCTCTCAGGAAAACATCCTGGCCTTGGTGGCATCTTCTCACCATAAGCTCATGAATCCAGCTCCATGCTAGAGTGGAAAAAAAGTCTTTTTCCAGCAATAATTCCAGCCAGTTTCCCTTTCCCCTGAATGCCCACCCTGTTCCTCAGGGGCTGCTGCTCCCAGGTGGGTGAGCCCTGCCTGACACAAGGTTTGAACTGAGCTGCTGCTGGGTGTCCTGGCCTGAGCGTGGAGCTGGAGCTGTTTTAGCAGTGAGAGGTTCAGGAGCAGAGGCCAAGCCTTGTAAGAACCCAGGCTCTGCATCTGCAGCCTCTGAGCACAGCTGGCTGGGGGAGCTGTGGGTGTGACAGACAAATGCTGACCCTGGGGCGAGGCAGCCTGCCCTGGCCTCATCCCTTCTGCTCCTGCTGTGCCCTCCTCCTTTCCACCAGGGAAACACGAGCAGGCAGTAATCACTCCCTGCACAATGAGGGAGAGAAGGAATTCAAACTTTACATTTGCTTTACGGCCTTTAGGATGTCCATTGAACCACTCAAAGTGCTCTCCACAAAACTTTGCTGACAGAACAGCCCAGTGATGTCTCTCCACTGTGACTTTGGATGCTCTTTTGGACATCCATGTCTGCCAAGGCTGCTCCCAAAATCTGAGCAATGACCTCGGCCACTCTGAGGGCAGATGAGTGCAATTATCAGGATGTTCCTCACCACCAGAGAGATTTCTTTGTTGGAGCTCCTGGCAGGGATGCACTTTGGAGAGAGCATCAGCCTCCCACAGACACCCACTTAGAGCAGGCTCCTACATTTGGCTGCTCTAAGTTCAGACCTTCAGTGTTTTCAGGAAGGAACCAGAATTCCTCATGCTCTTGCTTGACCGTGTTGCTGTTTTTAATTTGATGCCAGAAAATAGCAGGGTTGCAGACCCCTATCTGTTGTTTTGGACTATTTTACCAATATTTCACCTAACTCAGGACTTGAGACAGGAATGTCAGCCCCAGCTCCAGCTGCAGTCAGTGGAAAAAGAGAAACTGCCTTGAGTGGGAGCTGGACTGGGACCTAAAACTGTGAGTGCAGTGGTGCTGCAATGTCTTTCATCTCAAAGATGCTGGGTGAGATCCAGGCTATGCTGGTAATGGTTGGGAAGCTGCCAGCTGCTAATGATGTGGAACAAGCTGGTGACTCCTTGCTCCAGTTTGTAGGAAGCCACCAGACAAAACAAGTCCCAGGAATAGCCAGCTCAAGCCTTTCCTGGTTGGGTTCATGCTGTACTGGCATGGGAG